TGAGGCCCCTGGAATTAAAGAGTAAGTTTATACGACAGTTTGAATTTTCGGAAAACTTAGAGGATTTGTACGTAAAATGTTGTTGGAGAGCAAGGTCTTGCTCTCCAGCAACTTTTTCCATACAAATCTTTTTATTCTTTTAAAATTTCGGACCGTCATAAAATCTCCTTCTTTAGTGATTGGGGTCTCAAACTTGGCCATTTTGATATTTTCGACATGCTTTTTCAATTTCTGGCATTCGTTAAGTTATAGCCCATAATTTTATGAAAAATAGGTCACGCGACGGCTTAGCTGCAAAGGGCCTATTTAGGTACCCCGCCTAATCTAAGCATCATACCGGGAACACAAGGCCAACACGGGCAAAAATGATACCTTATTTGAGAATCTAAAAAACCATGCCCTATCCCGCAGTACCGTACATATTTACCTTTTATAGTTCGCCACTAAATTTTCTCCGATTGTAATTGGTTTAAATTGATCACGTGATGCTATAGTGTTCATCCGCGGAGAGACTATCAGCCCATAGTGCCCGTCCGAGGAAGATAGTACTCGTCCGTAAAAATTTTTCTGTAAACAAGCGGGCCTTTGGACAATAAACAATTGAAATTGCATTAAGTGAGTTTTTGTCTGTTTTTTTTTTTTTTTTCCTTTTTCTTTTTTTTTTCCCAAATGTTGGATTTGGCTTTCACGGCGTTCATCTAAAAAAGTTGACTGAATAATTCAATATGATTTTTGAACTGGCATGCGGAAGCAAATTTAATGGTGAACAATTAAGACAATAGTGTTTTTATGTCTCGGAACTATCGGTCTGATAGTTGCCCCTTGGAAATTTGATGTTCCTAGAATCTGTTTTAAGAACATCAAAATTTTCACGGGGCTATTATATTATATTGAGTTCATATTTGGGAGCCCTCTTCCCGGGCTCTCTATCCGTACGGAGGGCTGTGATCCTGTAGACATCACAGGCGGGCATACTTTACGTAAGTCTGCGGTGATTGGCTAATCAAAGACATGGCGCCATATTGAGAAAAATGTACGATGTTTCTTGCGACCCAGAGTGAAGCAGAGTGAAGCTCGACACAAAAGATGCCTTATTTGTATGGGTTTCAGGCAGAAGCATATCACCTAAATCTGCAGAAGAATCGCTATCTGCTTAACAGAGCAAAGAACTAGCTAATAAATTTCTTTTCTAAGAAAGTGCGCAAAGATCAGCTTTTTTTACCCTCATCGCGGAAGTTCGTTTTATCATTTGAATTTAATACCCTGTCAGTATTGTAAATTTTGTCCATAAGGAAAAGTTGCCTTGCGGTGATGAATTGAAGTCACTTTATTTTCTGTGATGACATTCTCAAAACATACTTACCAAGCTTCCAACGTTGTTATATATTTAGAATGCGGCTTTAAGTTAAGACTACACCTACAGAATTTATTTTTCAAAGAAAACAGATTAGTTATTGAAAATTATTGTTCAACGTTTATATTTAACGTTCTTAGCCACCACGCTCTGGTGTTCAATTGCGT